CACAGATTAACGTGACTGGGTTATTCTTTTACTATATAGTCTGATAGGGGTTTACAAATGGGCTGATTCAACAAATTAGATACAAGCAATACGAGAAAAATACATTATAAAAAACATTATTGAGCTAAATCAGCCAAATTTATTTACATAGCGTCTATAACATTTTTACACATTAAATGATAAATTTACAAAATAAAACATGTATTATCCATAGATATTTAAATAAAGAACATTAAAAAAGTGATACAATAACAACATTACCACCAAATATATGGTTGATTTAATCAAGCAAAAAATAAACATATCATTTATATAATAAAATATCAATTTGCAAAAATGGTTTCCTTAAGGGTGGATAAACATATCATTTATATAATAAAATATCAATTTGCAAAAATGTTTTCCTTAAGTGGTGGTGGATCCTGTCGATTCTGGAGATGGAGGACCTGCATTGGTAGCCCTGGCTTGGTCTTTTGCAGCAGCCGATGCATTCGGAGGTCTGCTCTTTGCGCCGACAGTAGATTTAGGTCTTTTAGCTCTTGTAGATGTAGTTTCTTGTCCGAAAATTGGGAATGAGATAAGTAATAAAAGAAATAGAAATGCCAAAATTTTTGATGTCATCGTAGAGTCAATTGAAAATAAATATTAAATATAAATAGGCAAGGAAAAAAAATTATTATTCAAAATTAGAAAGCGAAGGTGAAAAATGTTCGAAGCTTTTATCATTTATTAAGCAAATATGATACGTAATTTGAAACTTTGTGGCTAAGAGATCCGCGTGGCTAAACGATGCCGAATACGATACGGGACGAATTCCCGAGATGACAAAATTCATCATGCTAGTAATCGTGGCTGTGATTATAAATATGTATATGTTTCGAATTGTGATCGTGGCTTCACTTAAACTAGAGGTGGTATCAGTTATTCGTTCAGATAAAACGGAGATTAGCCGTAATTGTTCATTCGTTCTTAACTAATTCCCACAGATATTCGGATAACAAGAATTATTATTGTGGACACATTATGAAATAATCATAATAAGCCCGAATTAAAACTCAGTCAGCCAATGATACCTTGTAAAGCATGATCATATCTTCTATGAAGGATAATTCAATTTAATTATCTGAAATCAGAATAAAATTAGTCAAATTTGGATTATCCGGAGAAAGTTCTATCTTGCGCGTATTTCAAGTTTCAAGTTTCGAAAAGGAAATTAGCAAATCAGAAAACGTAAACTTTGATAATTTCAGACTATCCCGTCGTAACGATAAATTTATATAATAAGGGGGCTTTTCTTTGTCTTTATTAGCCATATAGGAAAATAGCTTGTTTGATAGCAATGCGTCTTCGTACCACCCACAAAACGAAAAAGATAACTTTCCTTGGTTTTGTAAATTCTTTCTTTAGCGGAGCTATGATTTCATTGGTTAACTTTTAGATTTTAACTTGTATATCGTTTTGATTTATTGATTTATTTTCATAAATATTAATTGTGATGCATACGTATTCAAAGTTACAATTTGTTGAATCAGCCCATTTGTAAACCCCTATCAGACTATATAGTAAAAGAATAACCCAGTCACGTTAATCTGTG